GTCCAGCGGTCTGGGCTCAACTGGGTCGGCACAGCTCCGGGCGGCTCGCTAGCTCCGGCTCCAGCACGCTGGACAGCGCCCGCGTCTCCGCCACCTTATAAAGGAGCGCGCGCGAGGTCACGTGGGATCTCCCCGCCCCATTGACGTCAATGTTCATTCATGGGGAAGCGGGCGGGCGCCCGGTGGAGGGAGACTGCCCAGTGATTGGAGGATGCACGCCCTTCCCGGTCTGCGCTTGCGCACTGGCGTCCTCGGCTGGAGGGGCGTGCGCTAGCGGAGCTCGGAGAAAAGAATGAATGAATGAATGAATGAATGAATGAAACGCTGAGACAGGCGGGGGCAGGGGGCTATGAATGAATGAAGGAGAGACGAGGAGAAAAGGATGAATGAATGAATGGAAGAATGAATGGAAGGGTGGCTGCAGAGGCGTTAGAAGGCGGGAGGGTGGGTTACAAAGCAACTTGCTGCTGCAGAGCTCGAGCTGCTAAACGGAATAAGCAGGGGGTACCCCCAGCGTCTGAATGGACCCAGCTGGACACCAATATTGGAGAGTGGCATGTTAAGGCTTAGCAATTTGAAGGGGCCAGACTCCTTAAACCGAGTCCACACGGCCCATGGGGACACGCCCAAGGACGGCGTGAACCTGAAAAGGAGGGCGCTGTCCGAGGATCTGCGGTGCGGGGTGCCGGCCCAGGGCCCCGGCAGATGGGTGGATCTTGCGGTTTTGAGAGTCAAATTGGAAAGGGTCCGAATCGGAAGAGAAAGGGAAATACAGAGGATGTGTGTGCCTCTGGGTCGTGTCTGTTCACGACCCGTTCGTGTCTGGAGAAAAAGGTGTGTCTTTCTGTCCGGCTGGCTGGTTTGGCTGTGCATGTGGGGGGACCCCTGCGGTGCCCCTTTTCAGCCCCCCTCTTCCCACCCTCTTCCAGTTTCTTTCCTCTCCACTGCTCCCCCTACCCAAGGACGTTTGGAGGGCGAGATCAGACCAGGTGGGGAGGGGGTTGCGCAGGTGGGGAGAGTGATTCAACTCCAGCTCTCTCCACCGCTTAAAGGGGTTTGAATGCGGGGGGGGGGGGGCTGCAACGTCAGAGATAGACAGTCTCTGCCACCAGACCCTTCGACCGTATCTCCTACAAGAGGGGTTGGGGCTGGGGGCTTGGATAGCTAGAGGTTCCGGGAGTGGGGGGCGATGACGCACAGATTGCGCAGAGAGAATCCATCAGCGAGCCGGGTCCGGTGAAGGGAGACCAGGCGTGGGCGGGAGTGGGGGGGGGACGGAAATGGGGAGGGGGTAGGGGGGAAGGGAAGGTGGCCAGGGGAGCGGCCACTGCAGGCATGAAGAGGAGGGAGGGAGGCCGGAGGGGGCTGCGGTGCGGTGCGGGCGGAGAGCAGTGCGGGGGCGTGGGCAGGGAAAGGGGGGAGTGACAATGACACACGCCAGACACAAGAACTGCGGACACAGGGGTGCTCATGGGTACACGCAGGGCACCCGCACTCTTGAGATTCTGGCCACCAGGACTGAAGCTGTCTGCAGGGACTTGGAGCCTCTTTCAGAGCCAGGCCTAGCCCCCTCCTCATCTCTTCCTGTTTATGACCCTCCTTCCACCCCACCCCCCATACACACACTCACGTGCTTTCCCTCTATTGCCAGCAGTGGCTTCTCGCTTCCATCAGTGGCTTGACTTTCCCAGAAGAAAGCCCATCAGCTCTGCGGGGAAAGAAGTGGGGAGGAGAGGAGAGAGGAAAGGAAGAAGGGATGGGGGCAGGGAAAGGGAGGAAGGAACCTGGAGTAGGTGAAAGGGACAAACTAAAGGAGAAAAAAAGTGAGAATTATGGGGACAGTGAGGATTCCAAAGCAAGGAGGAAGAAGAGGAGCCAAGGGATTCCCAAAGCAATGCTTCACATCCCTCCTCACACACACGTACACACACACACACACATGCAGGGCCTACCCCTGCTTCTCTGGGCTCCCCTCACCCACTCATCTCTCTCTTCTCAGCCCAGTTATGGGGAGTAGTAGGGTGGGCAAAGGGTCCTCCTGAGGAAGTCCAGTGGAGAGAAGGCTCAGACATCTGAGGGGGGGAGGGGAAGCCATTCTAGGGGGGGGAGCCACGGGGCCAGAAGATAAGACAAGGGTCCAAGTGCAAGAGAGGAGGGAGGGCAGGCACTTAGACAAACTGTGCATACCTGTGGGGCTGTGTGTGTGCGTGCACACGTGTGTTTGCCTGTGTACAGAGATTTCAGAGACCCATAGCCGGCAAGGGAAACAAAAGGCTTGGGGGAGCCAATTATGTACTTAAGCAACCTGGGAGTGGATAGGCTTGATAGTGTTTCCAGTTCAAATAGGACATCTTTGTGTGACTGTCTTTGCCTACTACCAGGAGTCTCTGGGTTCTGATCTCTTCCAAGTGCCTGTGCAATTTTTCGTCTTTTGAACGCACCCACTTCTGAGGATGTGCTGGCATCTGAAAAGCATGTGCCTGGTTTGGTGCACAATAATGTTTATGTGTGTACATGCAAGTCTTCATGCATTTCTCTGAGTCCTGTGCCTACCAGGATATGTCGGTGGTTATGTGCACTGCCATATGCCTTGATCTCTCTTGCCCCTTCTCCATCCACCTTCATTCCCAGCCCTGTGCAGTGCAGCCTCACAAGCAAAGCTACTCACCTGCAGGCTCCAAGTTCTGGGTCTTTGCCCCTGGTTTTCAGAGAAATCTCCATTCCTCCATCCCCCACCCCAATTTATTGGGAAGCCCAAAGGAATTCTCAGACATCCATATCCCAAGAACTTTACAGGATGGGGAAGGTGGTGGGATGGGGAAAGGTAGGAGTTAGGAAAGATGGACACCAAAGGCTGTGGACTCTATGACTCTTTAATCTCAATATTGACCTCTCTTTTCTGTATCACCTCTACTCTGGGTCTGTTCTTGTCTCTCTCCATCCCAGTGTCTTACCTGGGTCAACTCATTCATTCTCCATCCCCTAGAGATGAGCACTGTCCTTAATACCTTCCTGCCTCTAGGAGTTTCTAGAAAATATCTGGACTGGGGACAAGTTTCTGAGATTCGGGAGAGGAGGGAGATGGCAGGAAAGATAGAGACAGCTGGAAAGGGCAGAGCTCAAATGGGGATCTGGAAGGGATGCCTGGTGTGTGCTTTGAGCTATCGGTATGAACCCATCTTTCTCTGTGTTTGTGTCTAAGTCTCCCATACTCTCCAGGAGGGTAGCAGGAGAAGATGGGAGCCAGCAGAGTAGTGATCCAAGCTGAAGGTTTGGGAAACCAAGAGAGAAAGGGGTAGAGCATTGAATATTTTCCCTAAAAAGATCTGGAAGGGAAAGAAAGGACTTGGACCACCCCCCTACACACACACATACACACACACATACAGCTCACGTCCTTCTTCCCTACCCCCTCCCCCAACCGGTGACTCACCTCTGCAGCCTTTCATTGCGTCAGCCATGGTGGGAACAGACAGGAAGGGGGCAATTTATGAGAAGATGAGGGGTCTTCACTTGAAACAGAAAGCAAGTCCTAAGACCCCCTGAAAACAGCTCCATGAAGAACATGTTATTGCTCCACTCCCTAGCCATCCAGGGATGGGGTGTCTTGGGAAGGGGGCTGGGGAGCATTGGAGGGTCTTTGGATGATGACTGATGGGAAAGGGGTGTTCACTCCGATTTTAGCTTTAGGGTCCCATTCCCTCAGACACCTCCCCAGCTCCTGGATGGGGGAAGGGAGACCCAGCAACCCGGGGGAGAGCATCTCCGCATAGATGAGTCACCAAGAAAAGGAAAGAGACAGAGATGGGAGAGAGACAGAGACACAGCTCCTGGAGAGACTGAAAAAAAATACACACACACATACACACACACACATACACACACACACACACACACACACAGCATAGGTGGTATCCATAGACTAAGAAGGGAAAAGAAATTATGCACTTCCATAATTCTGATCCAGCCCCTTCCAAAACCCACCAGTCTCACACACACACACACACACACACACACACACAACATAGTTGCACTAAGATTCTGAGACACACCCACTTAACACACACAATGTCACACCTAGCCCAGTACAGTCACCCCGACTTCTGCTAAGGATGTGGGGCTGTGAGTCCTCCTTACTCTTACGGGATGATGGAAAAGGGATCAAAACCTTCTAGAGCTGCGACTTCAAAAACCCAGGACGCGGCTTCAGGGCCTCCCAGTCTGCACCGTACACACACGACAATACACACAGGTCTTCTGCCTTCCTGTCCACACCTACCTAGTTACATATCTAGCATCATCTTCATCAAAAAGCAATTTGGGGTACCTGTTTTTGGGGCACACCAGGCATGTTGTCCCGGATGGATCCCACCCTGACACCCCCAGACTCATACACATATGTACAGACACACACACACACACACACACATACACACAAAAACGCCCATGGACACACTCACACGGACGGAACCAGCTTTCGCTGCCTCTCCCGCGGCCGCGCTCTTCCTGGCGCCCCCGTGCGTTACATTTCGGAACCGCAGTCTCCGCCGCTTCTGAGCTCTGCTCCCACGGGGGCGGCGCCCGGGCTCCTTCCACGTCCTCTCCCTCGCCCCGCTTTGCCCACCCAGAAATGGGGGAAGCAAGCGCTACTAGAAAGCGAGTCAGGCGCTTGAGTCCTGGGGCAGACGGAGGCTGGTCCTGGATGCCGGGGTGAACTTGGGAGGCGGACCCACAGAATTTGGGTAGGAGCTGACTCCCAGGTTCGGGGTAAAGCGAGGCCCGGGGATGGTGGGCGCCGTGCTACTGCGCGCCTCGCTTCTGAGCGGCCGCTTCTTTCCTCCGTTCCGGGGAGGAGGGGGCGCCCAACGTCCAGCAGCCCTCCCCATCCCCTTCCAGGAAGTCATTAGCCCCATTGCCACAGGGCTTGGAGATCCTCTCTAATACAGGCTGCTGGGGAAGGGGGAAGAAAATACGACTCATCCATTCTCGCTGAGAAGAAGTGAACCGCACGCGGAGCGCAGGCAAAAGGTCCCTTTTATTGTGAGACAAGCGGCCCCGAAGTCGGAGCTGGGGAAAGTGATGCTGGGGAGAAACTGTCCCCCTTGCCCACCCTTCTCCCACCTTCCTGGAGCCCTCCTCTGCCCACACCTTGGATTCCAGGCCCAGAGAACCCTGTTGCTAGGGTCAACATCTCCCTAGCAACTGTCCACTGTCCAACAAGAAGTTCGAGCTCACAGCATCACAGAGTGGGAGGTTCTGGGCATGCTCTGGGCTTGGCATACCTGGGTTCTAGCCCCTGCCAGCCTCCCAGCTCCTGAGAGTGACTCAGAAGTCACCTGGAACATTTTGAGCATGTTTTCTTCCTCAGACGATGGTGTAGGGCTCAAGTCTAGGAGACAGGGCTGTTTAAACGCAGCAGTCACCATTTCTGTTTAAGCAGGTTCACAAAGTCCAAAAAGCAATGCAATCCAGAGTTTGGGAGCAGTGTCCACAAATATCAGGAATGTTCCCTAGAGGGTATCCGATGGAACCAGGAGACAGCTTCATGCCAGGCCCATAGCCTGACCTCACCGGTACCACAGCTTCTAGCCTGAACCCCAGGTGAGCTGGGCCGAGGGCCTGCAAAGTGGGGGGAGGGGGATTTCAGGCTCAGGAGAGTGCTGTAGAGGCCCAGATGGGGGACTGTCTTGGGTACAGGTCTCTCTCGGTTACTGCACACTAGGTCTGTGTGGAAGCTGAGCACAGGGAGAATGGCAGGGCAGGAAAAGGGGCCAAGAGTGTGGGAGGTGTGGGGAGGCGGGGAATGGGGGGCAGAATCAGGGAGATGACACTGATCTAGGGGCACAGAAGGCTGAAGGGGGCAGTGAGGAGGGGAGTGCTGGGCAGTTGTGAAGTTTTACTGTGGCCAGTGGCCGGGGAAGAGGAGCAACAGTTGAGCTGGGACAGACCTCTGCCTGCTTTCACCCACGAGGGGGCGGAAGAGAGAAGCCAGGGAAGGCGGAGCTCACTCCCCGGCCAGGGCCTTGCAGGAAAAGTGCCCTACAGGGCCCAGTTCTTGGCAAGGGAGAAGTTAGATAATAAACAGCAGTGCAAAGGGCTCCCGCAAATTCTGCAGTTCACAGCCAGGCATATGAGCCTGTAATCTCAGCACTCTAGGAGGCTAAGACAGGAGGACAGCAGTTTAGAGCCCAGTCTGGGCAATTTAGCAAGATTCGTCTCAAAAGAAAAATAAATAAATAAAAAGGGCCGGGACTCTAGCTCAGTAGGAAAGCCCTGAGTTCAATACCCAGTGTCCCTACCTCGGGAAAAAAAAAAAAAAAAAAAAAAAAAAACAGTTCACATCTAGATTTAGGCAAGGATATTTGGGGATGCTAGAGACAAGAGAGTAGCTAGAAAGGGAGGGTGGGAATGGACACCTGATAAGGGGAGGAGTTAGAGGAAACTTCAGAGGAGAGGGGTGCAATAGGAGGGTGCAAATCTAAAGAGCTTCTTCCTTCTGAACTGGGAGAGGGAGCCTCAGATGTCAGCCTCCAGCAGATGCCATTTAGTAGAACTCTTGGCCAGTCCCAGCCCCAGGTCAGCCTGGCAGAAATGAGCCAGCTGTTGCCACAGCTGGGGTGCCAGGAAGAGCCAACACATGACACTGAAACTGGCAAGGTGTGGAACTCAACACTGCAGGTGCCAAGTTGAGGTGGCACCATTGTTGTGGCCGCAGTGGAGGGGGAAGGGCACTGCACCCAGTGTGAGCATAAGTGGGTGCACTCAGCTGTCCAGGCCCTTGGCTGCCATTAGGCACGGGTCACTGTCCCTGGCCGAGAGCAGCCAGATGGTCCCAGTGAGAAGCACCTGGTTCTGCATGGAGAGTGACATCAGAAGCAGAGGGTGATGTGAGAGGAGGCCATGATGCCACCTGCCGGGGGCATGAGTGAGCATGGGCCAGCTCGGTGCCCCCCATGTCTTTACTTCCCTCCTAGGCCCTCAGGAGGACCATCTGTGAGCAACCGGGGTGGAGTGGAGTGTGGGAGCACCTGGGCCCCCAGGGTAGCAGGGATGGGCCTGGGTCAGGGGTTCCCCACGCCTTCATCCCCGAGGAGATGGGAATGCAGGAGGTGAGCTGGAGATGAGGAAGCAGAGCAGAATGTCAGGTGGGGTAGGCGGAGAGTAAGGATGCAGGCTCAGTGCAGAAGAGCAGCTGGATGACACAGGCCAGGCAGAGTCACAGAAGTCCAGACGTTAGGACTAAGGGCTGGAAGCCAGGAGTGAGGAGTTGACGCTCCCTGGGCGAAAGGGTCTGGGTAAGGTCTAGGCTCACAAGCTGCTCCACTCAGTAAAACCCAGAAAAAACAAACGATGCCTTGCATGCCGGTGCATGACAGGATTTCCAGCTCTCTGGGAGACTGAGATAGGAGCACCGCAAGTTCAAACCTAGCCAGGCAATTCAGTAATGAAACCCTGTCTAAACAGTGTGGGGGAGGGGGCCTGAAAGTGCCGCTTCAGTACTGAAAAAAGTAAAAATGCACTGGGCTGGGATGGACACCTTTATGTCCCAGCGGAGGCCAAGCCATGCCTTGTCCTTACCTTCCTGGTGATTGTGTTTCTTTAGCTCCCGGGGCTCAAGCCGTGCCACCTTGACCCCCAGGTGCTGTGGCCTGACCAGCTGCTACCCTCCACACCCTGGTCGCGCTGGCTGTCCTGTGCCAATCACATCCACTGGCTCTGGCGCCTTTTACAGACGGCTGCCGTTAGGAGGCGCCCTTCCGCCTCTGCTGCTGCCTCCGGGGAACTTAGTGTCTGGATTGCAGAGTTTGCAAAAGTCTTTCCACTTGGGCCTCTTCTGCCTCTTGAGATGTGCCAGTTCCTGGGGCACCTGGTCCCTGTCTGCTCTCCATGGCCTCTCTCCTTGGCTTCACCCCCAGGATTGTGCCAAGTTCCCTGGCTCCTCCACCAGCCTAGCTCAGCGGGTCCTCAGCTGTGCCCTCTCTGTCTCTGTGCTCTGTTGCTGGGGGCCTGGTTCCCCTCTCAATTCTCCTACTCCTCTTGCCTGGTCCCTGAGTTCATGGTCCTGTCTCCGGAAACTCTCAGATGGACCCTCAGCCCTCATCCACCTCGGCTGTTTCCCTATTGTTCATAGGACTGGGAGAATGGTGGTGGGGGACCAGTAGGGATTGAACCCAGGGTTGTTTTTTTTTAAACAGTTTGAGGCGCTAAATTACGCAGGCTGGGCTTGAACTTGCAAACCTTCCTCAGCCTCCCAGTGCTAGGATCTCACACATCCATCACCATGCCCAGTTACTGTTTGGGATCCCCCGTGGCCCCATGCCCCAGGATCTAGCTCCTGGATCCCATACCCTGTGCTGTGACACCATGGCAGGCCGTATCTCCGCAGCAATGCAGCAAAGCATGGAGAGATGTTAGCCCCCTGCTCCCTTCCTAGTATCTGTGCATCCAAATCTGGTTTCATCCCCTTCGCTTGGGCCCTGCTCCACGGTTGTCAGGACTCCTCCATCGCGCATGGCCAGCACTGCAGTGTGGCTGGAATCCCACAGCCCAGCAGCAGTCAAGGCCACTGCAGATGTGCTCGAGAAGGCCAGCACCTCCTCAAACTCCTGTTCCAGGGCTGCCACCAAGTCCAAGGGCTTGGCCTCTGCTTCGGATCGCCATCTGGACCTGAGCTCTGTGCCCAAGGACTCAGCCTTGCTCTCAAGTCCTGGCTCAGCTCCCTTGCCTCATCCTGAAGCCCAGATCCACACCAAAACTTGGCCCTGTCTTCCATGGTCGGGTATCAGAGCTGAGTCCACATCTGGAGCAGCCTGAGGGACCTCTAAGGTGGCTTCCATCACCCTGTAGAAAAGAGAATTCAGCCCAGGATCAGAGGCCCCTGTTTTCATGTCTGGGTCTCCGCATGACAGTCCCAATAATCCCTTCCTACACAACTTACTTTTTTTCCTGCTCCCCTGGTAATGTCAGTCTCCCAGTCCCTTCCCTCCTCCCATGAGTTCCCAGAAATCATAACTCTATCTCCCCCACCCCTGCCACAGTGTTCCCAACAGTCAGGAACTCAGGAACCCCTAGTGTGAACTAAGCACACGCTGCACACCTGCAATCCTAACACTCCTGGAGACTGAGGCGGGAGGATTCGAGTTCAATCTCACCCTGAGCAATTTAATGTCTGAGTCCCTGTCTCAAAATAAAGTCATTTTTAAAAAGTCTGAGGGTATTTTTCCATACAAAAGCAAAAGGAAAACCTAGCAAGAGTCCCAAAGCCTTTAACTCCAGATTGCTTCCGTGCCAGCCAGTTCCCAAAGACTTACCCGCTGTCCGAAACCAAAGCAAGACTGCACCATCACCAAGGTGCCTAGGAGAGGGTCCCCAGGGAAAGCAAAGGGTCTAGCCCCTCAATGTCACCTCCCGTGGTGTGCCCCAGAGAAAACAGGGAGGGTGTCCATGCAAGCAGACCTAAAGGCCAAGCACCGCGACAGCACTGCAGGTTTCGCAAGCCATTCCCTCTCAGCCAATCAAAGCCCACTTTCTTTTCTGCATCCTGACTTTATTCCCTCTTTCCATAGGGTGATTTGGGCTCCGCTCCAGGGCAGGGTGGTGATTTCTTTTTTTCTTTCAGTACTGAGAATTGAACCTAAAACCTTTGCAGTGAGCTATGTTCCCAGGCCCTTTTTAAAATTTTTTGAAACAGGTCCCACTAAGCTGCTCAAACTTAGGATAGTGGTGTCTCAGCTTCCCAGAGTGCTTCGATTATAGGTTTGCACCCTACCCTGTTTAGGTGGTAGTCTTGCCACTGCTAGTCCAGCAAACAAAACTGTCCACCATGGTCACATTTACTTTTCCTCCAAAGATGAAGTCTCTCTCTTCTCTCTGTTCTTTTTTTTTTTTTTTTTTTTTTTTTTGAGACTGAGTTTCACTATGTAGCTCAGGCTGGCCTCAAACTCACAGCAATCCTCCTGCCTCAGCCTTCTGAGTACTGGGATTACAGGTGTATACCATCATGCCTGGCTCTGTTCTTCTTAAATCTGTTCATGTAAGCATTGCATCATCTCCCACTCAAAAGTTTCTTTGTCCGTTCTTCTCCTCAAAGGGTCTGACACCTTTTTGGCTGCCAGCTTTTTTATTTTCCTTGCCTAGTGACAGAGCCAAGGAGACAGCCCCTGCGCAAGTCCTGATGACTACCAATTCCAGTCTTCAGACCAACCAAATCAACCAATCAAATCCCCCTTCCTCTCTCTCAGCCAATCATAATGCTCCCTTCACATAATCTGCATTAGAGCTTCATTAACCAACATTCCAGGGGACACAGACTGGCTACTCTGTAGCAAGTGATTTTGGCTTCGCTGAGTTTTTTTTAAAAAACAAAATACTTGATCCAGATTTGGGGAAGGGGACCTGCTGTGGCACCAAGGGGTGTTGAGGGCACAGTTATAAGCTTCTATGACAGAATCACACTTTAAGTAAAAGCAGCATGTATACATAAAGCACCAAACTAAGAGTGTCATCTCCACCTTCTTTCCTAACTCTGATCCAATTCCAGTGCCTAAAGGAGAGGTTAAAGAACACAGGGCCAACATGAGGGAAGGGGGAAGCAGGTGCAGAGGATTTTAGAGGCCCTCTTGGGGCCATTAAAGACCACGAGGTCTAACCCTTTCTTTTTTGCAGTATAGAAATTAAAGCTCAAAGATGTTAAAAGTCTGGTTCAAACTGATTTGCTCAGGTAGGAAAAGCCTACAAATTAACTGTCCCTGGCCTCCTAAGCCAGTGGAAGAGGCACTTTCTGTGTGCCCGGGTCTTCAAACCAGCTTTGATGGAGGACAGGAACCACGTGGGTAGAAGTAAGGGTCCCAGATGGGCTAAATTAATCCAGACCCATCGAGGAAGTCCCGGGAGAGCCTCTCTCCTCCTCACCCTGCCCACACTGCCAGCAATCCCAGCGCCTATACATAGACCAGCTCCAGAGCTAGACTGCTTGTGCCAGGCTCTGAGGAATGGGGTCCCCCAGATAAACAGAGGGCCCCTAGCTCCCTTGTTTGCAGGCGAGCTGAGCCAACTTTGGCTTCTAGTGGGCCCTGTCCTCTCTTGTTTAAGGGTCCTGGGGAAACACAAGCTAGTATCTCAGCGTGACTCCCTGTGGGCAAAGCAAAAGCAACCTGTATCTGGAACCTGGGAAACTAATTCCAGGCTGTAGGCTCCAGCACCCCGCCTTGACCTTTGGGATAAGGAGACAATCTCTGCAGAGAATTTCTAATAAGGATGTTGATAAGGTTGTTTGGGGTCTGAGGAACAGTGAGCTAGGGGATTCCCAGGGTCAGGAAAGAAGACACTTTCCAATTCATCCCTCATCTTTCCTTTCCAGGCACTGCTGCTCTTATTCCCTTTGGGAGTGGGAGGACATAAAAAAGGTTCTAAAGTCCCCTGAGTCCTGAGGGAGGTGACTGCTAGCAGCAAGGTAGGTCTGGGGTTCCAGGACAAGCCCGGCCTGTGAGTTGTGTAAGCTCCAGAACCAGGAAAAAAAATATATCTGATCGCTTCTCATCTTCTAGTCTTGCCCTGGAACCTCGTGCCCTGGAACTAACTTCCAAAAAGAGTCCCAGTGGAAGAAGAGGCAGTCCTGGGTCCCCAGTGCACTGTGGGAGATGTAGTTCAGGCAAGTTCAGGACCAGGCTTCAGGAAGAGGGGCCTGTCCCCCTAACCCTCTTCTACATATCCCCGGGGCCATTCTTTTACTCTCATGAATAACCACCCTGGAGGAGATGGTGACTGGAGGCGTAAATGGGCAATCTGGGTGTACACCCACCTCCACCCCACCCCCATTGCACCCCAACACACCTGAGGCACCTGGCCTGAAGGGTTCCCGGGACTGGAGGAGGGAAGGGAAGGAGGAGATGGAGGGGAAATGCCACCAGGGAAAGACAAAGCAAGCTGCTGTACAAAAGCCCCAGAGACAGAGTGAAAGGGACAGGAACTGAAGCAGAGAGGAGACAAAGGGACGGGGATATGTGGGCCAGAGGGGAAGAGAGGGAAGCCGGAGGAGGTACCTGATCTGCCATCACAGAAGGACACTTTGGGACTCCCTGCTGGCTGATGTTCTAAGAATCCCGTGGTGCACGCCCTCCCCAGGGGAACCATAAATAGAAGGTGACTGACACATCCCTTTCTTGTCAGGATGCTGGCGGGGAGGTGGTGGGCCCAGGGGTGAGCAGAGTCAGGGAAGAGCTGCAAGAAAACTCCCGGAAACTGAGGCAGGGAGACAAGATGAAGTGGGCAGGAAGGGGCCAGGAAGCCGACCAGCAAGGGGGGTTGTCCTGAAGGCCAAGTCAGAGAGAGGGGGCTTACCTGGGGGTCTTCTCAGATGAGGGTCTTTCTCCATCTTGTTCGCGGAGTGAGGGCTTGAGGTGAAGCCGCAGGGAGGCAGATTCCCAAGAAAGCAGTCTACTTGGCCGGTCCCGGACCTCCTGGGGATGGAAAAGGGCTGAGTGGGAGGAGCCCAGAGTGCCTCTGCACCTGAGGCTGTCTCCACCTGGTTATCTGGGTCACCCGGTTGGGAGGGGGCACGGCCGTCGTGTCCCTTAGGTGGAGGGGACACCGGTGGCTTCTGTTGGCCCCCTTCTGCCATGCAGCAGCGCGCCAGCCCCCAGCCCCGGGTCCAGGGTCCACCTACCTCGCCGAGCCGGAGCCAGGGTGCCTAGAGCCCAGCAGAGGTGGGGGGCGGGGAGGATGATCCGCGGGGATCAGGGTCGCGTCGAATCAGATTCGGACTTCCAAGTAGGCTCGGCCCAGGCCAGGCTCCTGGAGGTTGGGGACAAGGGTGTCTCCTGGCGACTCGGAGGGGCGGAGACCCCAACGACACGGAGGAAAAACCTGGGAAGGATCTGGAGCGGACTCTAGTTCTGCTGGGGGCTGGTGCCGGTGGGTCAGCGACCACGGGTCCTGCCCACTATGACTCCCCACTTTATGCAGGCTGGAGAGTGGGAGCAGGATGAGGAGTCTCGAGTTTGGATGGAGGTAGTGATTGCCCAGTTCACCCCTAGCATTTCTATGCTGGGTCCCTGAATCCCCCAATCCCTGCCACACCAGGTCTGGAGCCACCCTCACAGTAACATCCTCCAAAGACCCCTTTCCACTCCAGCTGCTAGGTTAGAACTACTAGAAGCCAGGTATAGTGGCTCTCACCCTAATCCCAGAACAGTGTAGTAGGCTGAGGCAGGAGGGTTGCAAGTTCAGGTCTCAGCCTGGACAACTGAAATTTATGGAGACCCTGTCTCAAAAATAAAAAGGAATGGGGTGTAAGTCAAATAAAACCGAGAGACAAACCACCAGAAAGAGACCTTAAAGATGAAACTGACAGAGAAGATGGGAAACCAGAGAAGACAGGGACAGGAAGGTAGTGACACTGAGAGATGGAAACTGAGAGCCTGCGCAGAGTGTGGTGGACCAAATGGTCTTTGTCTCGCCACACTTGTGCCCCGACCCCAGCAGCCCTCTCCCAGCTTGCACCTCTCCCAGCTCACACACTCTGGCTCAGGAGGCCAAGATGCCTGGGGGCCCATGAGGGTGCACTGAGCATGCACCCCACACCATGCACCCCTCGAAGCCAGGTAAGCAGATGAAAGAGTGGCAGGAAAAGCGGGCCTGGGATTGGAATGGATACAGTGCTGCCTTGACCCTAAAAATTGGGGGCCCAGCCTCTTAACTCCTGAGGGGCTCCCTACTCCACCTACTGAGTAAGAGGAGGACACCCATAAGTCCTACCCTATAAGGACAGGGACAGGTGATGGCCACACAGGTCCTGTGTAACTGCAGAGTGCTCTGGACGTGCGGGGAAAGTCAGGAGCCCCTGAGGCCTGCTGGGCTGAGCCCTCCCTCCTACACCCGCTGCCAGCGCTCAGCCCCTCTGCTCACCTGGAAGTTATTGCTCAGCTATCTCCCTCCATGGCAAAGGGATGTGAGAAGACAGGGGATCATGTTCCTAGAGGCACACACTCAGAGCTACACCGAGGGTTAAAGGCAGGAGAACCGGGGTGCAATTCTAGCCCCTAGGAGGCCCAAAAATAATAGAGAAGTCATTCAACTTCTTTTCTTTCTTTTTTTGAGGCAGGGTCTTGCTAAGTTGCGCAGGCTGGGTTCCTCTGTACATATTTGCTGTCCTCCTGCCTCTTCTCCTCTTTCTTTCTGCTTCCCAGCTGGCCATGAAGAAAACAGACCTCTGCCCCATGTTCCTGCTGTCACCACAGGCCCAGTGACCATGAACTGAAACCTCTGAGGCTGTGAGCCCAAAACCTTTTTCTCCTCTAAAGTGATTTATCCCAGGCATCTTATCACAGTGACTAATCAAACACAAAACTGGTAAAGGGGTAATCAGGTCAAATCATTTATGGCAACTTCTGTCAAGTGAACACGATGGTGTATCCTCATCTACTTTAGTCACTGGATTGGGCACAGTGTGGCATCTGGCTCTTCCGCAGTCAAAGTGACCATGAAAAGGAGATGTTCTCAGTGGATTCAGGACATTGAGGCAGCCACAATAGTGTAACTAAAGACACTCACGAAAGAGGACTTCCAGAGCTGCTTCAGCAAGTGGCAGGAATGGTGGATCCAGTGCATTTGCAGTGTGTTCGAGGGATATATTTTGAGAGGGATTCATGGCAATGTATCTTTTATTATAATAATTTACATATATATAGAGAGAAAGAGAGAGAGAGAGAGAATGAATCACTTTGTAATTCAGGGTGGCCTAAAACAAATGGCGACCCTCCTGCCTCAGCCTCCCAAGTGCTGGGATTACAGGCCTGCTCCACCACACCTGGCTCACCATATATTTTCATCCCACACCATATAAAGCATATGTGTGATCCATGCTATTATTACTAGCAATGTCCTTTGGCCACTCTAAATTCTGTCAGTGCTGTCTTATACACTACCTTTTGGGCCACACATGGTTTATTACAGACTTTTATTTGGGGAGAGTCAGCTGTGCATGCCCTCCTCATCTTCAGAGTACACAGTGATCTCTGTTTTTCCCAGCATTGGTGTCATGGTTTATGTTTGTGTCCCCCAGGCCTTATGAGTTTGCATTGTTCATTTGTGATGGTTCATTGTCTAGTGCTTGGATTGATGGTGTCAGTGCTCCACCCACATGGGGGTGGAGCCAGGATGTGATGTAATGGCAGGAAGAAGGTGTGTCTTTCTCTTTGCTGGTTCGAGCTTGCTGTTGACAGCTGCCATGAACTGCGGTCCAGCCATGCCCGCCTGCCTTGGAGCCAACTGAGTGTGGACTGAAACCTCCAAAAACTGTAAGAAATAAACCTTTCCTTTCCCAACTTGGGCATCAGGTATTTTGTCTCAATGATGAGTAAAAAGTAACTAAGACAATTGGGGATCAAATCCAGCACACTGGGCAAGTGCTGCAGCCCTGAGCTGTGTCCCATGCACCTTGGCTGTCCTGCTCTCTGTGGCCGTGCCCTCCGTCACCCCACTTCCTGTCCCACCGTTCCCCAACAATGAGCTGCCTGACTCTCCATCTGCAGCTTCCTGAGGGTCTCTGCACCCATCCATGTAGGGCCAGGGCTTCCTTCTGCAGGTTTATTGGTTAGAGGGTCCCCTCCGGGGCATCTCCCTCTCTCTGCAGCTTGAGACCAAGGCAGAGCCCTCCGGCTTCCACCTCATCTGTCTTCCCCAGTGACACCTCCACCTGGGCAAATCACCCTCTGCCAGTCAAGCCTTGACTTCCCAGGTCATCTCCAGCTACCTATGGGACACAGAGAGAAAATGAACAGATCTGGATAGTATGTGCTTTGCCACACACAGCCAGCTGTGTCTAAGCTAAGAAAGGAGGCCGGATACGAAAGGGTAAAGGAATTGGCTCAAAATCACAGAGCCAGTGAGCACCTAAAAGCCTCATCCAGAATGATAGCCCTGAAAGGAGTCATCCAGCTCATCGCTGGATGACAGACGCCACGCACTCACCACACACCCGTGAGCCATGATGACAGTCTTCCTGTCAGGGTGGAGGACACAGAGCCACCTCCAGTAAGGACTGGAGAAGATGATGTAGACAAAGCACCCACTGCAGCGTTTCTAGCACAGCAAGCCACTTACTGGCAGGAATGGTTCAGTAGCCAAGTGGAGCAGCAGGTCTCAGAGGGAACACTCAGCCTCTCCGGTTCATGCTGCACCCAGGGCTGCTGCTCTAGGGGCACCATCAGTAGCTCACAAATCAGGGATGGAAAAGCATTGAGCTCAGCCAGGGACTCTTTCAGGACAAGGTGGCCTGAGAGTTGTCTCACACCTCTGGTGTGAGACGCCGGATACAGAGAGGGTGCTCAGCAAGTGAATGAATGACCTTAGTCTATTTCTGCAGTGGAGGACAGTGGGATCAGGCCGATTGTTATCTAAGGTCACTTAAGTGGGTAAAGGAAAAACTAGCTTCAGCAATTATCAGTTCATAGCTGGGCATGGTGGGGACACATCTGTGATCTCAGAACTGTGGGAGGCTGAAACAGGAAGTTTAAGCCCAGCCTGGGCAATTTAATGACTTAATGAACCTGTCTCAAAATCAAAAAATCCAAAAGGATGGCTGGGGATTTAGCTCAGCGGCATAAGCACCAGCGGCATAAGGCAGGCAGTCATGAGTTCGATCCCTGGTACTGATTAAAAAAAAAAAAATCCAAAAGTGAATGTAGTTCAGTGCAAAGGCCCTGGGTTTGACCCACAATATATAACTGGGCATGGTGGCCCACACCTGTAATCCCACCACTTAGGGGGCTGAAGCAGTAGGATTGTGGTGAGTTTGAAGCCAGCCTAAACCCCCATAATATATATATATATTATATATATATATATATATATATATAATATATATATATAATATAGATAGCATATATATAATATATATATAATTTAGTATTTAACCTACACATATATAGTATTTATAACTAATAGTATTTAATCAGTACTACAAGCTTTTTCTCTAATATTTTGAAACCAATTTTAGATACCATTGGTAAATATTTCTGCATATGTTTCTAAAAGCTAAGGATTTTTTTTGTCTTTTTTTTTCTTTTTTATCGGTACTGGGGATCAAACTCACAGCTGCCTGCTTGCAAGGCAGGTGCTTATGCCGCTGAGCTAAATCCCCAGCCCCCAAAGCTAAGGATTTTTTAACAATACTGTAACTATAATATTGTTATCACATCTAAAATAATTAATAATTCCTTGATATCATCAAACAACAGACAAGTGTCAAACACCTTATAAATGATATTTTAAAGAAGTTGTGCCTTGGGCTGAGGCTGGAGCTCAGTGCTAGTATTTACCTAGCAGGCAGGAGGTTGGGGTGTGATCCCCAGTACCACCAAGGAGGAAGGAAGG